CACAGTGATATATATATATACATACATATATATATACATATATATATGTGTGTATATATGAACTGAAGAGACCAATATTTTAATCTACCTTTACTCCCAGATTGAGCCCCCAAGTTGACAGAGTCAACAAATCCAGTTAGCATCATTTTTTAAAAGAAACTGAGAAGATTGTCTGTTATGACAAGACTATGGATTATAAGTCTAAACATATAAGCTACACTAGAAAATGTGTAAAATGAAATCTTTGTGACTTTGGGTTATGCAGACACCTTACACAAGGGCACCAAGTGTAAAGACAAAGTGATAAATGAGCTTCAGCAACATGGAATCTTCCACTCTTCAAAAGATACCACTAAGAAAATGAAAGGTGAACTACAGATTAGAAAAAGCCATTAGTTGGTAAACAAGCTATGGTACATCCATAAAAAAGTGTACTACTTGGGTCAGGGATTTAGCTCAGTGGTTCCACCACCTGCCTCACAAGCACGAAGACCCAAATTTGATCCCTGGTACCAAAAAATAAAAAAGTATACTACTCACAATAAAAATAACTATATGACAAGACAGGTGGATATCAAATAAAGCCAGATTCAGAAGGTTACCATCTACATGATAGTCTGAAAAAGGTAAAACTACAGGGTCATTTAAAAGCAGAGCAGGCGTTTCTAAGGACACTGGGAAAGACTGCATAAAAAGGGGCATAAAGTTATTGGGATGATGAACTAACATGGTAATTATAAAACTGCACCTGTTAAAACTCAAACAAATGCTAAAAAAGAATGAGTTTACTTAAGTAAGTTATACATTTCTGTGATACATAATGATTACTTTCATTACATGTGGTTGGTACACATACATAACACATCTTAATACCTTTTACATCCCCTTCTCCTCCCTCCCTACATCATTTTCTAAAAGCACACAACAAAGGACAAGCTATAGTACATCTAATAATATAAAATTTTTGAATTCCACAAATTAATACATGTAAAACATAGTACTTAAGAGATACATGCTTAGTGGAAAAAGCTAAAAGGAAGAACAGAAAATAAATTCCATAAAAGCTGAGATACTGGTTAACTTTGAGGGACAGCTGAGTGGGCAGAGCTAAAGAAAAGACACAGAAATACGGAACTTCGAGGGGTCCACACTGTCACTTTTTGAGGTTCACCTCATCCACAGGGGGTGGGTCTCAAATAGTCACATGTTCCTTACCTCTGCCCAGCTGGCTCAGAGGTAACCCCAAGCTTTGACTCAACTAGGTAATCCCAAAGCCTCTTATGAAATTTAGAATGAGGAATGAGTGAGTTCACTGTGCTACATCGTGAACAGGAAAGATGCAAATCTCCAGAACACCATGAATAAATGATCAGAAAAATAAATCAAGAAAACAATCCCATTTATAATAGTATCAAAAATAAATAAATAAAATACTTGGGAATAAATTTAACCAAAAAAGTGAAAAATCTATATGCTGAAAACTGTAAAATATTGGTAAAAAAACAAAAAAAGACACATACAAATGGAGAACACCCTATGTTCACAGATTTAAAGAATACTAAAACATTTACATTATCCAAATCAATCTACAGATCCAGCACAATCACTATCAATTGTAATTACATTGTTTCACAGAAATAGAAAAATCAATCCTAAGATTTGTTTGGAACCACAAAAGACCCCAAATAACCAAGGCAATCTAAAAAAAAAGAACCAAGCTGGAGGCATTACCCTGCCTGAATTCAAAATATACTACAAAGCTATAGTAATCAAAATAGCATGGCACTGGCAAAAACACAGACATATAGACCAGTGTGAAAGAACAGCTTCCCAGAAATACCCACACATATACAGTGTGTATGTGATTTTTAACAAAGATGCCAAGAACACACAGGAGAAAAGACATTCTTCAGTAAGTGGTAGTGAGAAAACTGGATATCCACATGTAGAATAAAACTCAACCATTACATCACTCGAAATACAAAAATCAACTTGAAACAGACTGCAAGTAAAACCTAAATCTGCAAACCAACTTAAAGAAAACATAAGGAAAAATCTTCTTGAGAATCACCTTAGGAGTGGTTTCTTAGATATGATCACAAAAGCACAAGCAACGAAATAAAAAATAGGTACTGGAGGTTGCATGAAACTAAAAACCTTCTGCAAAAGGTAAAGGAAACAATGGAGTGAAAAGACAACCTAAAGAATGGAAGAAATATTCATAAATCACACATCTGATACAGGTTAAAACACAAACACTGACGAAATTCAAACAACTCAATAGTACAATCTAGAGCCAATTAAAAAATAAGTAAGGATCTGAACAGACATTTCTTTAAAAATGACAGAAATGGTTAACAGGTATGTGAAAAATGCTCAACCTCATAATTATTAGGGTAATGCACATTAAAACCACAATGAGATACACTGCATACCTGTTAGAAGGACTACTTTGAAAAAGACAAAACACAACAAAAGTATTGTGTAGGCAAGAATGGCGAATAGGAAATGCCTACACAGAGAGGGTGGGAACATAAATTAGCATAGCCATTATGGAAAACAGTATGCAGGTTCCTCAAACACTTAAAAACAGAACTACCAAGCAAGTCCGCAATCTTATTCCTGGATTAAATGTGCAAAGAAAATGATACAAGTATGTCAAACAGGTATCTGCACTCCCACGTTCATTGTAGCATTATAACTTTATCTTGCTTAATATAATCATTTCCAAAAAAATACAAAACCAATTCTTATATCATACAGCTACTCTAGTCAGTTTTATGTACCAAAGTTTTCCATCAGATCTGATTAGTAGTATATTCTAGACCACTACATAAAATATTTTTAAGATCAATTGGAATGAAAGAATTGCATTATTTCCTGAATATATAGAAAGTAATATTTTTCAAACAAAACTGTCAATTTTATTAACCTTCTATTGATATTTTGACTTAAGGTATGAAAAAATACATATAAAAATACATTCTAATTAATAAAATATTCTTAATAAAATATGGGGGGTTTTTGTATACATACTATGTGATCTTTGGTGAATATATTTTCTCTAAATAAGCTTCCAATTGCAATCCATATTTTCATGTAAATAGTACCACAATACTGAGGTAATATTTGTAGCATTCATATAAAAAATCCTAAAGCACAATAGGAACTTAATTCTCATAAATTACACTGAATAAAGTATTCCAGTAATTTTTTTTAATGCATGGGAGTCTGACTGCACTGCCCAGGCTGGCCTCTGACTCCTGGGCTCAAGCAAACCTCCTGCTTGAACCTCTGAAGTAGCTAGGAAGACAGGTGCAGCCCCCACACCCATACACCATGAACCATGAAACCATCTGGTAAAGTGCAACTTCCAAAATAAAATGCATTTATAAACACTAGAGGGTAAATGCAACTTCCAAAATAAAATGCATTTATAAACACTAGAGGGTGCTCTAGTTTAACAGTATGTGGTATCTAGCTTTCAGACTTCAAATAATTTTCTCCTCAAAGATTGGACAAATTTCTGCTTGACAATTTTTGCTTTCAAACTAATACACAGAAAAAAAATCGAAAGCAAAATTCCATTCTTCCAGAAGATATAACAAAATGGTAGAAATCATTTTTATTATTCAATTGTTATATATTTTTTTTTATATTGTATGTTCAGAGAACAGAAAGTAGGCACATAAGTGTAAAAATGACACTTGCCTAAAAAGGAAATTCAGTGCTTAGATGATTAAGAGTAGGTAAATATTTCCATTTATAGGTTTAAGTTCAAGAGAAATTGTGAAATGCATTTGGTAAAAAGACATGACACTAACTCTCAGTATTAAAGTATGGCTTAGCCATTTTTACAAAATTAATCTGAAAGCTGCTATTTAAACAGAAATAAAATTAATACTGCCAATGCATTTTAACTGCTGTCTTAACTCTTTTTAAGCAAAAAGCTACAGGAAATAAGGGAATAAATCCCTAAGTCCTTCAGAATTTTTCAACAGAAATAATTAATTGGAAAGGGAAAAAAATCTAAGTCTTAATATTCAGAACAGAAATAATATTAATTTTTAATCTTCATAAGTATTTTGTGCTATTTTTTGATTCATCCCTACCAGTCAGAAATTCAACTAGAAACACCTGAAATTCTCAAAACTGAAAAATTTGTATGTGGCCATTTGGTAATGTAGGAAAGTTCCCTGGAGTATGAGTTTTCAATGGCATTAAATAATACCAAATCACAAAGGTGGATGGCCAGCAAAATATATTGTTATATATTTCAAGCAAGTGGCTATCAACTAAGCCATTATATTTTTTTGTTTGTTTGTTTGTTGGTACCGGGGATCGAACTCAGGTCCTTGCATTTGCAAGGCAGACAGTGGAACCACTGAGCTAAATCCCTGGCCAACTAAGCCATTATAAATCCTAATAAGATATACTGCCTTTAAAAATTATTACAGAAAAAACAGGACATTATAAATATTTCTACAATTCACACAAATTTTTCTAATTCTCTCATACAAACATGTATGCACATTCACTACTCACATAACAATCCATCCTCATGAAGGGAGAATCTGACTTTTCCTCTCTTTTCCCTCATGAATTACCAAAAGCCCCAAAAGAAAAGTATAGCCCTATGATGGCTAGTTGTGGGCAGTTTTAGGTAGGCCTTCTTAGCAAGTGTCAATAGCACTATGGCCGACATTGTACATTGGGATTCCAACATAATCCTATCGTGACCTTAGCTTCCCACTAATATTTAGTCCATAAATCTGAAAAGCAGAGACTACATAAAATGAAGACTGAGTAAACATGTTAAACTACTTACCAACACCAACTTTCATCTGTTAAGATAATGTTTCATAAACATCTAAAAACTGTAACATTCTATTCAAATAATAAGTTAAGACAAATACCTGCTTTCCGTGATTTCTGAATCCTGTCGCAAACTAATAGTCTCTGTCGTAATTTCCACTTTCCGTACACTTCCAAAGAAATCAGTTATCAGGACATTTTTAGGATTCCTCTGAAAAAGGTCAGTGCGATGTCCAGGAGTAGACACACAAAGATTCTTGGGACACACTTGAAACTGAAAAGAAGAAAACAAATTTTAAAAAGGAAACAAATGCACACATTAATACATATACATACAACTTTATTAAATTCAATGGCACAATGTAGTAGACTGTAGTATATTATAAATCTCTCTCCACCTAAAGAGGCTACCTGTCTTAAAGATTAAAGTTTAATTTCCATTGTAATACCTGACATTCTAAGAAAACTATGCAGACCTGAGAACAGTGATAAATGCAAAGATGCCCAAGGAAAGGGGAAAATTTACTCCTTGAAGCACTTACAACACATAAACCCTGAAATGTATGGAGAACTCACACTTGACATACGACAACAGAATTGCTCTTTCTGTTTCTATTACCCTTCTCAGTATGGTGCTCTACCAGAGCAGTTTTCAAACACTTTGTAATCACAACCGTAATTCAAACTTAAAATTCAAATAAAGTATTTATTACAAGGTAGCCTGACATGTAAAACAGATTATACCAGAGCTGTTCTGGATTGCAGGAAGGTTAAGCACAGCCTCCCCACCTCATTTCCCCTGCTCTAGCTGCCAACGGATGCACCTTTCATAAATCAATCAGCTTTCTTAGTTTACCCATGAGGAAAATAAACACAAGACATCGCGACTCTAGCGCTCCAAAAAATACAATGTGAAAACCATGACTTCATTGCTTATAAAAACGTCACAATAATTTTTGGGTTAATCTTAACCCTGATATTCCATATCAGCACATTATCAAAGACAGACACATATGACCAATGTTCACTCATCCCACAAAGCATAAATAGTGTCTGTTACACACAGTTCATACCGCTGCCTTCTACAGGCAGTGCAAAGATGGACAAGACATGATTCTGTTCATCTAAAGGCATTAAGTCAAATTAGAAAGGAGCAAACATAACGTGGTAGAAAAAGGATGACAGATTCTAGACCAGAAAAGCATCAGGGCCAGGCCCACAGCAACCCCCACCCGTGAGGACAGACCATGGCACAGCAATCACAGCAGAGCAGGAGCAGAAGCAGAAGGACAGAGCACCTACAACATACCCACACAGTGCTCCAGTCTCGTGTAAGCCTACCAACAACTCTCCGGGAAATAATTTCTAGCTCTCCTTCAAATTTATGCTCAAAGAGTTTAAATAATTTTCCTAACATCACATAGCCAGCAATCTGCCTTCTCTGTTTAGGAAAGTAGACTGTACAAGGAAGTACACAGAAGAGAACAGAACAGAAATTAAGAAGCAAAGAATAAGAAAAAAGGAAGGGAGGAAGAAGGCTCCAAAACATCAAATGCCAAACCAGAATGGTACCAACAGATGAAAGATTAAGAAACAAAATGAAACATAAAATAAGCAGAGATCAGATGGAAGTCCTAGATACACTGAATGTCTCCCCAAGCATCCTTTACAAGCAACTTGATACACTTTCCTGGGTACCAGGAAAAGAAAACAGAAAACGGGTAGCAAATAAACTGGATTAACACTAAGCATCACACTTTCTTTGCCACTAACATTTGCTTATCCTGAAGTCATTCTTTCTTTCAAGGATGTTTATAATACTGACCTGATTTCCTTAGCCTCTGTCTACCAGGATGACCCATGGGTCCCACATCTGTTCTGTTTTCCGTAATTCTCCCCCTTACAGAATCTCCACAAGCTGGCCAGGCTGTTTATTGTCAAAGGCGAGGATCATCCATTAACCCAACTTCTGTGCACCTGCACGTATTCTATTTCTCTATTTCCTTTTTTTTTTTTTTTTTTTTTTTTTTTT